TCCTCTTTTATATGGCGACGTAAAGCCTGTGGGTAACGTCGCTCCTTCACGTACGTCACCTTTTCCTGTTTTAACGGAATCTCATGTGCCGTCCTCCCCTTTGCACTCAACACCTCCCCATCTTTAAAAAAAATATCCGCGTATTCCCTCTTTATCCTTTGTACCCAATGTTCCGCTTGTTCTATTGCCCCAATGTTCCCTTTTTCTCCCACTCTCCCTTTCTTACACCGGTACCTCTTCCCTGCCATTCGCACCCTCCAACCCGTTCCCCTGTAATCTATTTTTGGTCTCACTCTACTCAATCCTATTATACCCCCGTATTCCCTCGGCATATTCTCTACTACATGAACCCTCAACTTCCCACTTCCTGTTACCCATCTGTCTAAATCTAATTCTACTTCCCCTTCTATCCTACATGGACCACCCAAAGTAATCAACTTACACGTACAATTTTTTATTATCGGTATCCTCTCTCCTTTACACAACTCCTCCAACATCTGCCTAGATACTATTGTACTAGAACTTCCCGTATCCACCAGACACTTTCCCTTCCCCACAACACTTATAATTGGCAAACCAACGCACTCACCTCCAATATTATTTACTACCGCGTGGCTGCCTCCCCTCTGCTCCTCTCCTCATTCGTCTGATCTTCCTCTCCTGTCCGCAACGGCTCCCCCTTCTCCACTCTTTCTGCTAATTCTGCCTCCTCGAGCTCCTCTTACCACCGGCTCCTCCTCCTCGGTTCCAGATGTTCCCGACGAATCGTCCGACTCCGATGCCGCTCCTCTCTTCCTCCACAATCTCTGGGCGTTCACTTCCATCGGCTCATCTCGGCCCACTTCTCCCCGTCTACTCATATACGGGCATTGTCTGGCAATGAGCCCCTCAGTTCCGCATTCGAAACATCGGGTTCGCGGGCAATTCGCCACTGGGTGACCTATCTTTCCGCACCCGTGGCATCTCCTGTCCTCCTTTGTCCATTTCCTTCTCTCCTTTCCTGGCTTTTTCTCCCTCATTGCCGTTCTTTCTCTTGCACTAACTTCTCCTCATCTTTTCTTCCACCCTTCCTGTTTCGTTTTAAACCTTCCGGTTTCTGCTCTCCTGTACGATACTCGGTTCCACCCATTCTCATTCTCCTCCTCTCCTCTGGCTGCTTCTTCCTCCCGCGCGCTTGCATCAATCATCTCCTGGGAACACTCCACAAAACTCTTGTCTCTAGGTAGTCCATCCCTCTTTCCCGTATCTCTACCCAGCTGAACCTTAAGGATGGTTGACAAGAACGCCATTCTTGCTCCTGTTTCCGCCGCATCCGCTACTTCCCTCGTCTTCTCAGTTACATTATTGAATCGTGCCAACAGGTTTGTGGCATATTGTCCGTTGGTCTGATACGGCTGTTTCTTCTCCCGAAACATCTGCAAGATGTCCTCTTCTGGAGCCCAGCGGCCTCCTCCAAATGCCTTCTTCAGCCTATCCTTCACGGTGTTCCATGGGATGTCTTCATCCGCCTGAATCATATTCAGCACGCTCCTCTTAATCCGGCATACCAAGGCTGCCCTCAATGCGTTGGCATCCAGCGGATCTATCAAGTTCTCCTCTTCTTTAGCCGATATACGCGATATCACCCGATCGCCTCCCTTTAGAAAGTGATTCAACTCACCTACTCCTCCATCAAATCTTTCTAAATCGGATATTGCTCTCCTCAGGTCCTGCGATGTCGCCGTTCTCACCTTCAGCCATTCCAACGTCGTCGCATGTGCTGATGCTAATGTTTCAGTAGGTAGCGGAGGAAAATCCCTCGCTAACACTTCTGACAACGGAGGAAACGCTGGCGGTGGAGCCAACGGTGCCGCCGGTGGCGCAGTCGGCTGTGCTACCTGTGGTGTAGACGGTACTGGCGGTTGACCTACTCCGTTCGGCATCCTTTCTTTTCCACGACGTGAATAAAAAGAGAAAGAGAAAAAAAAAACAAATTCACAATTAAATTTAAACCTCCCGGGTTTCGGCACCACTTACGTCGGTTCGAACAAGAAAAGATAAAAAAAAAGAAAGAAAGGTCCGAAATAATACACGTGGTTGCTCAAATAAGACTGACTTTATTCTCTCCGTAATGCTATATATATATAGCATTACGGTTTGTTTACAACTGTTGAATAGGATTAAATAATATATCAACTTACATCTAACCATAACTTATATATATATATATATATATATATATATATATATATATATATATATATATATATACGTGTATGTATATATATATGTGTGGGTATGTGTGTGTGTATATATATATATATATATATATATATATATATATATATATATATATATATATGTATATATGATATATTTTTATTTCAATTTTTCTCTCTTATTACTCAATAGTTATTTTTCTTTTGAATTTTTCTTTCACTTTCTATTAACTTTCGTTCAATTTTCCATAATTTTTCTAAATAATATATCTCTCGTACCTATTTAGGCTTCCAGCGCTTTTAGTTCAAACTTCGTCTGATAACCGTTAGAGATGACGCCACCTTCACATCTCTTCTCTCTCCCCCTCCCTTGTAACGACTTTTATTCTCCCCTTGACACTTAAGGAGAAAGGTAGTACTTCTTTTATTTCTTTCTTATTTCAGCTTTCTCAATTTCTTCCCTCCTTCCTTTCATTCCTTTTCTCTGTTTTTAACTCTTTATTATATTATACATTGTCTGTACATCTTGATAGACTTTACAATATCTCAATTTTCTATCTAACTACTCCATTCTCAATGTTTTAATTTTACTATTTATTTTCTTTTCATTTCTTATATAACTTTATATTTCTTTTTTATGTTTTTACATTTTATTCTAAGATTCCCAATGTAACACTTTTGTCACCCCTTTTTGATTATGCCTACTTCATCATTCCACACTATGTAACAGTTTTTATTATTTATCTCTTAGTTCTTAGTCATTATTCTAACAATTTCATTTTACTTTATATCTATCTATTTTATTTTTCTAATAATTTTTTTTATTTTTTTTCTCATTTTTTATTATCTTTTTTACCATCATTACTTATGTTTCTCATACCTTGTTATCTGGTTATTTTCTTAGCCCTGATGAAGGCCTGAACTTCAGGTCGAAACGTCGGCATATGTAAAAAATAAATATTATAATTTATTTTTTGCCTTCCTTTTTGACTGAGCACCCCAACTATTCTTCTCTTCAAAAAATAATATAGTATATAAAGTTCCTGAGACTCAAAGAGAAGAGCCTGAAGATGTCTATGATACATTAAAAAACCTTATTCAATAGAACTGAAAAAAACCTATCTGTCAAGGATATTTCATATTACCGGAGACTAGGGAGAAGTCAGGCTCCTAGGCCAATTTTAGTTTCATTTGTTGGCCATAGGGACAAAATGAATTTGTTTAAAAAGAGGAACAAGCTCAGTGAAATTAATTGTTCTATAGCCCATGACCGAACGTTCTTGGACAGAAAGAGAAGAAAAGATTCGTATGAAACTCTAAAAAAGGTACAAATAATAGATGAGAAATCTGTTATTATTAAAAATAAAATCAAATTTAGAGGGAACCTATATTACCTTAATGAATTGCATTCCATTTTAAGCCCACCAGATTTTTAAAAATGTACTGATGAAAATTTACCACCGGATGATGAAAATTCTGGTAAAAGGAAAGCCAAAGACAAACTAGAGTCATTTCGTTTTCGCCCCAAAACATCTTCTCACTGATAATAATCCGCTCAAGATAAAATGAACTGGTCTTATAACTCAGGATGCATCTAAGGAAAACGTTTCATCCAGTTCAAAGAATCATTTTGAAAATTTCTCACAATTACAGAAAGACATCAAAGTGTATAAGATTCAGCTTCCGGATCATCAACAATCAAGCCTGCGTTCGAGCTTCATGACTGTGATGACTCTCCTCAGCAGCCGCGCGACGTAGCTCCACTCGCTTTACCTAAACCACAAACTCAGCGTCATACGCAACAACTGCGGATTCAGTTTACCACACACGTTTTGGACGTGCTGTCCGCCCGCATGTCAAGTTTTTGGACGTTATCATTGGGGGAGAGTAATGTTAGGGTTCTGCCCAATGACAAACATCCAATACAATTTAGCCTATACCATGCGCAAGCTGGTGCAACCTCTTTGGACCGAGAGATCGATTTTAGTCGCTTGTTGCTTTTTCAGTGCTACCACAACTTTTTAACAAGCTACATAGTTTTTTTTTTGTTCACTAGTTAATGAACGCTAGTCATTATTAGTGGCCTGCATGCACAGTGTAGTGAGCGCTCATAAATTTACAGCGGTTGTAATATAGTAATTCATATTCAGTTTTAATAAATGCAATGCATTTTTACAGTGGTGTACAAATTTTAGTTTAGCTTTAGTTGGTTTTTTGCTCCCTTTTTTTTCTACATAATTTCGTTTGTATTCAGAGGTATTTTTCATTTTCTAATTAATTTTTACCAAAGGTTTTTTTTGTAATAAAGATTTATTTTTGTGTATTTAAATTTTTTATTGAACGAACCCGCAGAATCCTTAAAATGGTTTTGAATATAGATACGGAGGGGGAATGCCGAATTTTGATAGGTAGGGAATTCCAGAAATTTACAGAGCGAGCAATAAACTAGTTTTGGAATGCGACAGATGTGTAAGAAGGTATGTAAAGGTCAGAAGGTCGAGATCTTGTTGAAAACAAATGGACTGAGGACTTAAATCGGAGAAAATTGTAGGCGTAAGAAGAACGATGATTGTAGATGTTTGATAGAGGAACGTACCTAGAAAATATTGTCTTCAGAAGGAGGGGAAGAGCCACCTTAACTCAGTGTGGTGGTGACACGTACCAACCTATAAACATCTCCTCCTCCCCCCCCCCATGATGATGTCCCTGACTTCAGTAAGATTTCGTAATTTATTTCATAAAATAATAAGTTGTGTATTGACGAGATCTATAAAGCAGCACCTTACATCTATTTTTACTTACAAAGAATAAAGATCTCCAGGCTTCAATTTTACTTGTATGCTTGAAATATTTCCTTCACAATGACATTTAAATCCTAAACTTTGAATCGAGATACATTCACATGGCTCTAACTGGATCGCAGATACGTAGCACACAAGAACACACAGAAAAAATAATTTCATCCAACCTAGGTATCAGAAACAAAGGAAAAGCCTATTATTATGTTATCTTTCAAGCATGTTATTTTATGTAAGAGCTTTGTGTTGGTTTAGAATAAATTATTGGTTAAGAATATAACCATAAAAAAAAAGTAAACATTATAAGTTACCCTTTACTTGGTTTACTTGACTGACAAATTGCGCTTGCTTCATAAAGCTTCCAAGCATAATTTCATAATGACTCCATTGATCTTGTCGTTTTAAGTCCTTTTTTTTCTTCTCTGCTCTTCCAGGATTCATATCTAAAAATAAATATGTATCAGTCATCATATCGTTAATACAAACAATCATTAAAAATAGATTTAAAACAAAAGTTATGGTCATATTTTTTATGGAACAATTATTTGCTTATCAATTCTCTCATATACTCTCCCAGTAGATCCGCCTGTGAACTCTGGCAGTGTTGGGCAAAATTTATCTTGAATTTTCGTAATTTCAGATACGAATAACGAATATTTCTGTTTATCTTTTAACTAGATAATAAATAAATTAAATTTATCTATGATCTTTTTATTTTTGTTCGAGTTTTTCAAATAAATTTCGAATAATTTAAAGCTAAATTTATTTTTGCTACTATATAAGGGTCGATCTCTGTACAGGACATAGGGAGGTGGCGGCCCCATCGCCCGGTATATATACCGGTAAATATCAGCCACTGGTCCTCTAGGTTCTGGAAAACACTTACACTGACACTCAAGCAGTAAAATTTTTAAATCGACAATATTATTTTGAAAAAGTACTGAAATAAATAGAAAAAAAATCCTTTTTATCGCGGCCAACAGCAGGTCTAATATCTATTTTTTAAAATTAAAATTAGAATCTTAAAAAGATATTAGAACAGATTCCTCCAGCCTATGTAATTTATGCGATATTTTATCTTGTAAATTCAATTAAAGTTATGAGTTTCTTTTTAACGAGAGTCTATTTGAAATGAAAAGATCATTAACCATAAATAAATAATTACATAGTTTTAAGTACATTTTTATGTATTAAATAAATTAATGTATCTTTTTGTTATATTTTAAATTAGTCATTGAGCTCTCAAAATAGCAATTCATTTCTTTAAAAAAAAGAATTGGTAAGGTTTTATTTATTCGCATTAAAAATCAAAGCTCTATTGTATTTTTTTTTTATATGATATAGAAATTAGTATATCTTTGCATTTTATTTAAAATATTTTCCTTCTATACAATTAGATGTTTAACAAATATATAAATAAAACAAAACTAAATTTAAAAAAAATATTTTTTCAGATTCTATTGATCTCGGATGAAAATGAGCAACTCCGTCATATTCTTATCATATAGCGTATTAGTTTTTTGTTTTTTTAAAGCCTGTTCATACAAGTCTTACAACTTGTAGGCCTCCTCTAAAGTATATTAGTTAATACATATTTAATTAATTCGAATTTTAAAAATAATTATTTGTTAAAAAGTAATTTCATAGAATGAGTTTTTGGAAACAGCCGCGGTGATTCGAGGAGCACAGAAGCAGATGTCTACCGAGATCCAAGCCATAGGGAAGTTCCGCTTTGGCTAATAGAAACCACGTGATAACACTATACTAAGCAGATCTGCACTAAATCATTGTACGATCAATGTTCAGTTGCGCAACCTGATACACACATATTTTGGATCAGCTGATGTGCAAGGTTGTGTTTCCAACTCAGCTCTCATCATTTACTACTTATTCAGAAGAATTTATTTTATTATCCACTTAAAACGAGTCGAGGATACACCAAAAGATGATTTTTACTGTGCACAGTTATCAACATATAGGTTTTTTTTATTAGTATTACTATTAAAGTGGTTAATAAGAGAATTAGACTCGACGCCTCCATCTTCTTCTCCTGTCAAACAAAAGCCTTGTAAATCTCGTCAATCACCTCCAATGGCACCTGTTAGCTCCGAAGAATATAAAATCCAGCCAGGGACATCACCACAAGAGAACATTACAACACCTAAGCCTCAACCAGTAAAATCATCACAAGAAACAATTGAAGAATCCCCTTTTTTACACACAACCCCTATCAGGTGCTTCACAATGACAGTGGGGTAATGGAGTCCGCACCGATACCAAGAGACCCTCGACCTCCCCCGTCATTGTACATAAACATAAACATTACTAATAAAAATAAAACATTTCCAATTACTATGTTCTCAACTAAACAAAATAGCAGGCTACGGAAGCTACTCATGTCTAAGCAGAACAAATGACACCAAAATATTGCCGGATACAGCTGAGACCTATAGAAAAATTGTGAAGTATCTAACAGAGACAAAAGCAGCTTTTCACATGTATCAATTGCGGCAGTAGTGAGTTTTAAGAATTGTTATAAAAAACCTACATCCCTCAACACCAACTGAAACAATAGAAGAAGAACTGAAAAATTTAGGTTTCAAAGTGCGCCAGATAACAAATGTTCTAAAGGAGAGTAAGGAACAGCCAAGAGTAAAAGTTCCTCTACCTCTATTTTTTATAGACTTGGAACTGACTCCAGGGATCAAAAAAATTTACGAAGTAATCCGACTATACTACACAAGTGTAAAAGTGGAGAAGCCGCATCCTAGGAGAAATATCGTCCATTGCCATAATTGCCAGGTTTCTGGCCACACAAAGACGGTAAAATGCGGTGGACAACACAAAACCTGTGAGTGCACAAAACCTAAATAAGAACCTGCAGTTTGTGCTTTGTGCCATGAAGGACATCCGGCGAACTACAAAGGCTGCCAGATGTACAAGAGTATTAAATCCGGATCCCGAAATCCCAATACCAATAAAAAACTGAAAGATCCGGATAAAGAAAATAATCTTCCAAAACCATAGACCCAACGGTGTCTTTTGCATATGTATTAGGAGGTAAGAACGATATTACTTATAGTGAGACCCTGCCGCAACACCAATATATACCTCAAAATTATCAACATCCTACTCAAACTTTTCCTAATATTCAACAATTTTATCAACACCAAATTCCTCCTCCATCAAATACCAAAGATCTCACCAACTTACTTAGATCATTCCTCTCTGAATTCAGATCCCTTGTTACTCCTTTGATATCCCTTCTCACCAATCTTGTATCACATTTTATTACTCCCCAAAAAATCCTCAAATGACTTCCAATAAACCTATATCCATTTTCCTTTGGAATGTGAATGATGTTGGGAATCATACAGACGAACTGATTGCATTATTACTTGACAAGAACATTGATGTGGCACTAATTACTGAAACTCGACTAACCACTAAACAGCACTTCAAAATACCACAATACCTGACATATCGGACTGACCACCCTGACTAAAAAGCACATGCCGGTACTGCTGTAATTGTACACCAAACTCTCTCCTATCACCTATTCCCATTACCTATGCATGATTTCCTACAATCCACTGCTATCGTAATAAAAACCTTTTCCTTTCTGGTTACGCTTGCATTAGCGTATTGCCCTCCTAACTGACCCATATCCAATGCTCAATTCAGTTCTCTCCTCGAATCCTTAGGACATCACTTCATCTTGGGTGCAGACTTCAATGGGTGCCAAGCACCAACAATGGGGTTCCAGAACCACGAATTGTCGTGGTCCGTTAAAATTCTCGGAATCCAAACAGTTTTCTTTACTCTTTGAATTTTCTCGATTACTAATTCATGATCTGACCCACATTCCGCTCCGCGATAAGAACTTACCTTAATTATACTAGTACACCACTTATGGTATATCATGACGTAATCGATTTGATTTCGTGTTTGCGAATCCGGTGATGACTAAGTATATTTGTGAATATCCTCATTTTTAAACGTAGTACTTTTAATTATCAGGTTTTTCGATATGGCAAAATTGATTAGTCGAATTCTATTATCATTACTATATTAGTGCAAACTTTCTTTACCGATCGTTGGAAAATAAACTTCTTCCCTTCCCACCTTTGCATTAGTGTCCCCTAAAATTATTTGCATGCAGCTTCGTGGTAGTTTATCATATACCCACTCCAGTTTATCATAAAATTCGCATTTGGCTTCGTCATCACTGTCTTCGGTCGGACAGTGTATGTTTATCAACGCGATTTTAAACCAACGCCCCTGGAACATGGCCACCGAAATCCTATCGCTAAAGAATTGTACGTCTCTCAAAGCGGATAGGAATCTATTCCTAATAAGAAGACCGGAGTTCTGCGCATGCATTAGTCTTAGTTAAACCTGCGTCAGGTCGTCTCCTATAAAAATCTCAATTAGCAGTGGCAGTATACATGTTTAATGTGAAATATTAGTGTTATCAGTTACATCAACAATTACGTTTGATACTGAACAAGAAAATAAGGTGAGTAATCACTTATTTACAACTCAAGAGTGAACAGTGTAAATAGACCTTAGGTTAGTTAGATAACGGCCAGCCATATACATCGCTAATCCCACTAGTGGGCTGTAGCCCTCAGTCGGAGGAAGGTCTGTGCTAATCAGTCCTCTCCAAGCACGCGTATATATTTTCGTGTTCAATAAAAATAAAATGTTTTTTTCCTCGCTTCACTTTTATCAATTTTCTTTTCAATATTAATATGAAATGTGATATTATCACATGCTAATGTCGAGCAAGAGCAAAAACACTAGGTCCAGGAACCTCGATACTACAAGAAGTTCTCTCATTAGAAACAAGGCGTTCTAGTAAATAATCTAGTAGGTTCAGGAAAATATTTATGCCAAAGCCGCAACTCCGTAATTACGCCGTGAAGTACCTCTCAGAAACGAATGCGAATTTTCATACGTACCAGCTTAGGCAGGAGAGATCGTTACGAGTAGTAATAAGAAATTTACACTCCTCAACCCCAACTGAAGTGATAAAAGAAGAACTAGCGGCGCTTGGTTTCAAAGTACGACAGGTAACCAACGTTTTGAAGGAAAAAAAGGAGCAGTCTGGAGTAAAAGATAAAGTTCTACTACCTTTATTTTTCGTGGATCTAGAGCCATCACCCGGTATTGAGAAAATATACGATATCATAAGATTATGTTACACAATGGTGAAAGTAGAGAAACAATACCCCAAGAGAGAAATAGTGCAGTGCCATAATTGTCAGGCCACACGAAGACTTATTGTCACTATCTGCCGCGTTGCGTGAAATGCGGTGAACAGCACACATCTGTGGAGTGCACCAAACCGATGCAGTGTGTACACTATACTTGGAGAGACACCCGGCCAACTACAATGGCTGCCAGATTTACAAGAGTCTCAAATCAAGACACCAGAAAAACCAGATTCAAGATGAAGAAGGAAGACCAAGAAGAGAGAGAGAGAGAGACTTCTAGAATACTTAACAATAGTATATCATTTTCCTAGCTACTTAGAGGTAAGAACTCAACCTCAAAATCCTATTGATCCGAATATACCTAACCATCAACAACAAATTCATCATATCCCTCCTCCTTCAAATACAACAGATCTCACCAGTTTTTTGGCATCTTTCCTCACCGATTTCAAATCCTTAGTTACTCCACTCATATTACTCCTCACAAATATCGTATCTCACCTCATCCCTCTTTTAAAAAATCCTTAATGACTCACATCCCAAAACCCATATCCATTCTCCTTTGGAATGCGAATGGTGTTAGAAATCACGTTGACGAACTAACAACTTTATTACTGGACAAGAACATCGGCGTAGCACTAATCACGGAAACACCACTGACCAGAAAACAGCATTTAAAAATACCTCAATACATAACATACTCAATACTGACCATCCTGACGGCAAAACACATGCCGGTACTGATATGATTGTACACCCTCCCTTTCTCATCACCAGCTCCCATTACCGACACAAGATTTCCTACAATCCACCGCTATCGTAATCAAAACCTTCTCCTTTCCCGTCACCATAGCATCAGCATATTGGCAGTGATCCAGCGACCTTTTATAGTTTGTAAATATTGGAGTTCTGGCAATTGCCAGATTTTCCACTCACGACATGAGTGTATGTAGCTAAAGCACTCTTGCTCAATCTCCACTGGGTTTAGCCCCAGTGACGCGGTTGAGAGAGAAGTGCAGGGATCTCCTGGAGTCATGCTTTTTCCTCCACAGTTGGAGGGACAAGTCTTGTTTGGAGTTGTCTCGCCAGATTTTAAATATTGTATATAGGTATGTATGCGTTCTTTTTATTTATTTATTTTTAGGATATTTTATTCTTATTTATTGGATATATATTATTTTCTGTATACTTTATTTTATTTATTGTACATAGAGTGTGAATGTGATCTCTGAACACTATTATAAATGTCCTTGAGACAGATAGTAATATTTTTCAATAAATAAGTTTTAAAAAAAAATGTAATTGAAAGTATCAGCAAAAATTAATTTACAGCTTGTAGGTGTATTAATATAAGATGCATTCAATTGATTAGGCCAGCTTATTGTAAATTTTCTTAAATATATGATTTAATTTGAGTGTATAAACCATTGTTCGCTATTTAATAATTTTCACAAAGTCCACTAATTATTTATCTTTTGTTTAAGTTTACCCTTAAAATAAGTTCACAAGTCAACATTGGCTGTTGTAAAAACAACTATCTCATTTGTTTCAATATTTTTTTTAGCTGAAACTAGCCTATTCTGAGAGGAACAAAAATCAATTCTTCTTCGTTTTTCTTTTTCACCACTGGTTGATCCAGAGATCTGATTAAGCAAAGTTCTATAGTATATATTTTATAGAAAATTTATTTATGATTATGATAATATCAAAAATATTTTTCTGTGGCTTATAGATCGATAATGCCAGGTTTTTTTTTCGAAAAAGTATATTTCAACCACTGTGCGGCGCCAACTATTTATAGAAAGTGTGCTTTATAATACTTATATTTTTTGAGTCGGCGCCACTGTAATCACCATTGTAACCACTGGCACCCCAGGGTATCGTCATCCAGTTAATTACGCCAATGTATATGGCTCCATTTTCTTTGTAACTTTTGAAGAACTAAAATTGTTCTTTGATGATTGTAATTAAACACTTTTTAACAGTTTCAGTAAAACTACTAATCAAACTACTAATGTTTCTCCGAATCAATAATTCAATAGTTAATAATATAGTAGTTCCATTTTGTTAATCGAATGATATCTATGATAAGAATGATAATTTGTCTCCTTAAAAAAATGTATGTAGCAGGTTAACAATATTTAAAAGGTATAGAGGTTATTGCATATCATATCTCACTGTGAAGACACTACAATTAGCACATCATTTAACATGGATTGTTTACTTACATGAGGAATTCATATCGACATTTCCAGAACAGGAAACTTCTATAGTTAAATTGTTTACATCATGTCCACTGAAAATTAAAAAATAACATCAGTAAAGAAAAAAATAAAATCACTTTAATATAAAACGTAATAAAATTGATTTCTTTAATCGGTAAGCAGAAAACCAAAATAAGGTTTAAGTCACTGGTAGGTGAATTTATAGATATTATTACAGGAGTACAATTTTAGAATTTGAAATCTTGTTATACTATTCATTCATTCATTATTGGCACAACAGACGCATGTAGCGGTACTTGGCCTGCTCAATTTCCTTTGCCCAGACATCCCTGTTGGCTGCGCATCTGATGGATATGCCGTTTTTTCTCAAGTCTTCTTTCACGTTGTCTATCCATCTTGCCTTCGGTCTTCCCCTAGACCTAACTCCCTCTGGCTTCCATGATAAAGCCTTCTCGCTGTCCTCGCTTCATCCATTCTCAGGACATGTCCTAACCATTTCATTCGCTGCACTCGAGCGAATTGGGAGATAGACAGATCACCGTACATTGAGTATATCTCCTTGTTTGTTCTCAAGCGGGGAACTCCTTCCTCCAGTTTAGGTCCTATTATCCGTCTTAGTATTTTCCTTTCAAACCGATCTATTCGTTCAGCAGACGCCTTGTTAGAGTCCATGTTTCACACGCATATGTTGCAACTGGCCGAATAATCGTTTTGTATATCTTAAACTTCGTTGTACGACTTAACAATCTACTTTTCAGAAGGCTCGCTAGAGAAAAGTACGCTCAGTTGGCAGCCATTATTCTAGCTCCTATCTCCTCCTCTTCGTTATTGCTATTGTTAATTATGGACCCGAGGTAGGTGAAGCTTGATACAGCTTGAAAAGTATGGTTTCCCAAGACATAGTACTGTGGTGGATGGACAAGCTTTTTCTTCCTTAAAACAAGGACCTTGGTTTTACTTTCGTTGATGCATAGCCCCATTTTCCCTGCCTCATTCTCCAACCTACTGAATGCACTCTTCACTGCTTGAAGTGTTTGTCCTGCAATGACCACATCGTCAGCATATGATGTTATTTAATTTTGCCCTTCTCATGATGGTCTCTAGGGCAATATTAAAGAGGAGTGGGGCTAATGAGTCACCTTGCCTAAGGCCCGAACAAACTGCAAAGGAGTCGCCAATTCTTCCTTTTACCTTAACTCTACTGACGGTGACTTCCATGGTAGCCATTGTTAAACGAATCAGCTTTGCTGGTATGCCCAATTCATACATTGCATAACAAAGCTCCTCTCTAATCACCGTGTCGTACGCCGCCTTAAAATCAATGAAGAGCATCCACATGGAGTTATTATACTCTTTCATTTTTCCATGCTCTGTCTAAGGGCAAAAATATGATCGATCGTTGATCGATTTGTCCTAAAGCCACTCTGGTAGTCTCCAATCTGTCTCTCCACGTAAGGCATAATGCGATTATACAGAGCAATAGAGAATACCTTATAAGCAGAATTAAGTAAGCTGATACCTCTGTAATTTCTGCAGTCACTTACATCTCCTTTTCTCTTATATATTGGGACAATGAGGGACTCTTTCCATTCTTCCGGTAGTTTTTCTATTTCCCAAATATTTGCTACTAATTTGGTAATTTCATCTGAAAGGCGACTCCCCCTAGTTTGAGAATTCCCCAGGGATCCTGTCTGATCCCGCTGACTTATTATTCCTGAGCTTTTCCAAAATATTTTCGATGTCGTCCGAATCAGGTGGCATGACTTCATCCATATCTTCCTCTCTTATTGATTGCATGCTTCTGCGGTTTCCTATTTCTCCATCTGCAGGGTTGAGTAACTCCTGGAAGTGCTCTTTCCATCTCTCTGTAACTCGTTCTCCACAACAAGCAGCTTTCCATTCTTATCTCTTACCACACCTGACTCATTCACAGAACTGACTTTGGTGGTATTTACGTCCTGAAACAACTTTCTTGTTTCATTCCTAAGCCTTGCTTCTTCAATGTTTTTCACTTTATCATGAAAGGCTTTTCTTTTTTTTTGCCTCAACACTTTCTTAGAATGGCTCCTTGCTACTTGGTACTCTCTGCGATTCTGACGAGTGTCTCTGTTCAGGTATTTTGCTCTCTTAATATTCCTGATTTTTATAACTTCTTCACATTCCTGATCATACCAGGAAGTGGGAGTAACTCTCCTATCTTTCTTGCAGCATTGATCGGCAGCTTCCTCTATTACTTGTTTAAGTTTGTTCCATTCTTCCTGCACGTTCCTGCCATCTTCACTTGCTGGTATATTCTCAACCCTTCTTTCAATGCAGTTTTGAAAAATACTTTTTACCTCCGCTCTATTTATTTTGTCTTTGTCCCACCTGTGCCTCTGGTCATAATTTCTTCTATATGTCTGATGTATGTGGCATGTTATCTTTGTAACCACCTAGAAATGGTCTGAGTCTACATCGGGGACTCGGTAAGTCCGTACGTCATGCACACTGTTGAAGTAGTTACTGGTGAAAATAACGTGGTCTATCTGAGTTGTGGCCCCATTTGGCGAAGTCCAAGTTCCTTTGTGTGCTTGCTTTTCGGGAAAAATCGTGTTCATTGCGACTAAGGAATTTGCTGCGGCAAAACTTATCATACGCTCTCCGTTGTCATTGGTTCGGTCATGCATACTATTTCTACCTATTGTTGGTAAAAATACTACTAAAAATATTTGTTATACTATAATGTTTTTTATTGTTTTATATTTTTTAATCGATCATTTCGGGGCGATGTAGGCTTTTTCATCAACTAATACTAAAATTTTATTTTAAATATAGTGAAATAACAGAAACGGAAAGAAGATATATATATATATATATATAATTTCTTTATGGAGTATTATTATATTCAGTCACTACTACTATCTTCAAGGTAGACCTGGGCACTCTGGATATAATTTATTTCTGAAATAATTCACATGGTTATTTCACGAATGAATTATTTCGGGAATAACGGTTATTTCTGAAATAATATTTCAAACAGTCGACGAAATAATCTCGATGGAATAACTCTGAATTTATTTCTGAAATAATTATTTCACTATTTGAACATTCTTTTTATGAAAATACGGTCGAATTTGAGATTACGCCCACCCCCCACTCACCCGCATCCATTTTTTGTAACTTTACCGATTTAATCGATATCAGGGTCGACTATTATGTTTTCGGGCTAGCTTATTATGAAAATACGGTCGACCGCATTTTCAGAATAAGCGACCCCGAAAACATAATAGTCGACACTGATATCGATTAAATCGGAAAAGTTACAAAAACTCGATGCGAGATAGTGGGGGGGGTGCAATCCAAAATTTGGCAGTATTTTCTTAAAAAGCGCCTCTGAAAACATAATGGTCAACTCTAATATCGAATTAATCCGAAAAGTTACAAAAACTCGATGCGGGATAGTGGGGGGGGCGCAATCTCAAATTCGACCGTATTTTCATAATAAGCGACCCCGAAAACCTAATAGTCCACCCTGATATCGATTAAATCGGAAAAGTTACAAAAAGTCGATGCGGGAGAGTGGGGGGGGGCGCAATTTTAAATTCGACCGTATTTTCAGAATAAGCGACCCCGAAAACATAATAGTCAACCCTGATATGGATTAAATCGGAAAAGTTACAAAAAGTCGATGCGAGAGAGTGGGGGGGCGCAATTTCAAATTTGATATTATTTTTATAAGAAGTGCTCCCCTCCCCCCCCAAAAAAAAACATAATAATCGTCCCTACACTGGGTGGTTAGGTTTTTTGTGGCTTTTTTTTAAATAAAAGTCCTTAAATCATAAAAGTAATCGAGTACTGCCCATCTCTAGTATGGGGGGGGGCCTGATAAACGGGGGCGGTAGCGAAAAGTAATTTTTGTGTGAACAATACTGTTTTTATTTTGGTTATTTTAAACGTTTTTGCAGCTATCAGAATGATTAATTCACAACATTAATTCCTGAAATAATCATTTCAGATATCGTTATTCCTGAAATAATTTATTCCCGAAATAATCATTTCGAAAATATGGTCAGGTTATTTCATGAAATAAATTATTTCAGAAATAACTATCGAGGTTTATTTAGGGATTTATTCCGGGAATATTTTTCAAATAAATTCCCTGGTCTACTTCAAGGATACTAGTAATAGTGAGTTGATCACTCACACTCTAAAAATAAATTAAACAGTAAACGAATAATATTAAAACTAAATGGAAAGAAGGTAATAAACTAAATGATATACTAAATGAAGATAGTAAAAAAAAATACGAATGAGTACCCATAAAGTTTGTTAGTTCAATATTGTCTGTTGTTATATTAGAGTAATTAGACGATTTCATTGTATCAAAGAAATCATATACAACATTAATTTTTGTACAATCCAACCTGCAAACATTTCGAATTACTGTATAAAAAAAAGATTATACGCTAAGAAACAAAACTCAAATTTGGTATGAAGTCGCCAATTTTACTTGCGGACGGTTTTTGCAGATTTTTTTCATCATAATTCATAAGCAATATTTAAGCATATTCTATATATCCTAACTGAGTAAAAGAGTCGCAAGCACAGGATAGAAATGAAATGAAAATATTTTTTCATTTTTTTGTTGTCCCTTTAAAATAAAATATAAATACAGAGTAAATGCCCGAGTAGTCATACATAATTTAAATATTTATAAAATAATATTTAATTACAACTAAAAAAACGGAAAGAAAGAGAGAGAGAAAAAAAACATACATAGTAATTTCGTTAAAATGGTTAACTGTAAAACATGCAGTAAATCGGTGGCCCGAGAAGAGACGAACAAATTAGTCTGTACAGTATGTACAAATATGTTTCATTCTAAATGCATCAAAATTGATAGTGACTCGAAAGGCCTTAAATAAATTAACAAAAAATGGATATGCTCCGATTGCGCATCTGATCTTACAATGATTGACCTACTGAAGGTCCTGACCAAGGAGGTTAGGGACATGAAGACCAAGCTTCAGGGCATGGACGAGTTGAAGGAGATAAAAGATTCAACAAACAGTCGGAACTGTCTTTTGAAAAT